ACCCCCACTCCGCCCCAGGCCGGCTGCTGTTCAGTGCCCAGTACGCCATGACATGTTTGCTCTCTCAACTCTGAAAACCACGCTGAGGCTGAGGCGGGCTGAGGCCGGCTGAGGCCGCCGAGACCTGGCTAGCCTGCGCGAGCAGCGCCGGCAGGGCAGCACTCCTCGTGCCCTTCAGAGAGGCTCCCGACGTGCCCCCGCGACCTCGTCCTCACTTTAGCGCGTCCTTCTCTGTCGCCAGACCCTGGCGGCGTCCAGCATCTGGTTCCAGCCGGACGACGCCGGTGCCGGCTACTGCGCCCTGCAGCACCTGACCAACTTGGGCCTGACCGTCCGCAACTCCACCGAGCTCTCCTGCAACAGCCGCGCGCTCAGCGTCTGCCACCCGCCGCCGGCCACACCCTCGCCGCCCTTCGGACCCATCGGCCCCCTTACTCTGCCCATTGTACCCCCTCCCATGCCCTGACTGCCTTTACCCAGGAGAGAGAAAACGAAACGACTGTTGAAATACATTTTGTTTATTCGTTAAGTTACATAAACTCTCTACATCTCTAGAATCGCTTTATTTACAGGGCCCGCTTAGAGATATAAGCAAGGCGTTTGATTACGTATTACATAAGGTTTCCATCACAGCCTATAACAGACAACAACAAACAACAACAATAATCCAGAAGTAGAACTTCTAGTCAATCACATCAAGCAAACACAGCCTACTCCTCAACGGTGATCATCCTGGTCAGACCCACCGCGGCCCCGTTCCCGACGGCGTGCTGCGGCTCCTCCGACGAGGCCTTGCCGTGCTCGCTGTCCTCGTCGCCGTCCCCCTCGCCCTCGTCGCCCGCGCCCTCCTCCTCGTCGGGCGCGCTCCCCTGGAAGCCGGCGCAGAGGCGCGCGATGGACGCCGCGGCCCGGAACACGGTCTTGGCGTGCTGCTTGCGCATCTTTTTCTTCCACTGTTCGTCCCTGGACGGCATCCCGGCCAGGAAGGTGGCCATCTCGGGCTTGTCCGGGTCGGCGATGCTCATGACGGACACGCAGCCGTCCACCGTCCCCAGGACGATGCACAGCCCGTCGTCGGTCGAGTCGATGGCGGACAGCTCGGCCGCTACACGGTAGTTTGCGATCATCTTCGCATCCGCGGTCCTGTGCGCGTTACAATTTGTCAGTTTGAACTCTGCTCCGAAATCAGCGACGCTAAGCGCCCTACACTCTATTTTTGCCACCTACCTGAAGAGCCTGAGCGTCTTCCTGCCGCTGTGGTAGTACAGTACGTACTCGTCCGTCTTGTTGAACCGGCAGATGATGGTGAAGACGCCCTCGGCCACCTTGGGGATGAAGGTCCTGACGGTCGCGCCCTTCTTGAGCTCGAGCAGCTCGAGGCCGCCGCGGGCGGGCGCGCACAGGCCGAAGCGGCCGTCCTTGGTGCACGAGCCGCCCCACTTGGAGATGGCGCGCACCAGGCGCTTGGTGCGGATGTCCAGGACGCTGCCCTTGTCCGGGTCGATGACGGCCAGCAGGTGGCCCTTGTTGGGCATGGGCACCAGCTGCAGCACGTCCTGTAGGCGAGAGTGGGGGCTTTGAGTTTCCCGCAAACACATTACGCAGCCGCACGGGCCGCACGTGGGTGGCTTCTGGGTACCCTGCCTTGGGCACAGGTGCGCACCTTGACGCCGACGGGCTTGAGGGGCAGCCTGTGGATGAGCTGGCCGTTCTTGGCCGAGTAGACGACCACGGCCTCGCGCGCGCCCTTGTCCGAGGCGATGACGCACAGGTGCTGGCCGTCCGAGGTGACGACGGCCGGCCTCCAGGACGCGCCCGGGGCGACGCGGACCGACCAGTCGAACGAGAACACGCGGGCGCCGCCTGGGGGGAAGCAAAGGGTCGGTTGAGGTGCGGATGAAAGACAAAGAAGAGCAGCACGGTGGCGCTGCCGGTGCAGAACTCGTATTCCGATCCAGGCTTGCAGGAAGGAAGCCCGCAGCATCGCGTGGGCGAGGCGGCGACAGTGGGTGGACGGCGCGGCGGGGCGTGGCGGGGCAGGGGCGGCACCATCGGTAAATACTACAACGATGGAGGGGGCGGGGGGTGCGGGGGCGGGTGCAGCCATGCGGTAGTTGTGCTGCGCTGCAGTGTTTCGGAGTTGCTGACGCCGTGCTGGCAAGAAGGGCGTTGGCGAGGACGCCTGTCAGCGGCCCTTCCCTACACCCCACACCACCCGGCCCCGTCCCCCTCGCCGACTACATGTAGGACGGCGGCTGCTACACGGTGCTGTACGGACGGTGCTGCACGGCTGGTGCTACAGTACACGGGGTGCTCGTGACATCGCGACGTTCAACACGCCGCGCTCAGAAACAGACCTCGTCGTCGGTGGGGTGCCGACGGGACCGAGTGGGGACGGTGGGATGGAGAAGGGGGCTCCCACCAGAAGTCGGTAGTTAGCGGCGGCACAGCGGCACCCTGCTCCTGTCGTTCCCTTTCGCCGCCATTTGCAAACAACTAATAAGCCGGTGGTAGTGAGAGAGAACAGAGGCTGAATTTGGGGACGAAGTGAAAGTGGGTGTGTGTGCGAGAGAGAGCGAAGGGTGAAGGAGGACAAGGGGCGAGAGAGGGGTATGGTGGCAGCAAGGCAAACAAGGGGCGGTTGGGAGTGAGGGACAGAGTTTCTTTTGGTTAGTGTTCTTCGAGCGCGGGGTCGGGAAGACGGGGTAGGATAGGAGAGTACGGGTGGTCCTCTAAATGAAGCTGGTGTGGGTGTGGCAAGGACTAGCGGGGACACCCCCTCCCCACCCCTTCCGTGTGAGTAGAGCGCCCAGCCAAGTGTGGTGTAGCCTCAGG